GCTTCATAAGTCCAACACAATTTCATGTTAATCAAATGTTCAAAATAACTACAATTTTATTGTTAAAATAAGATAAACGTTACACTTTAGAGGCACTTTTGTGAAATAAAGATGTTTGAAAGCAGCAAAAAGACAAACTCCAAAAGTGTCAACATTCGACTGAAGACAATTTAAGTATATTTAGAAAAAATGTCAAAAGGATCAGATTGTAAAAGCCCTCAATTCAAGGTGCATTAGGTTTAGCATTTTTTAGCAAATGCTTCTCTACAATCACAGCACATTAAAAGTATCAAAGTAAACTGTGTGGTTTCCGCTTTTAAGTGGAAACAATGTGGGAAAGTAAGAAACTAAGTACACCATGATGTAATGCATTTACTTTTATCAGATGGAAATAGCTCAAATCTAAGCTGTTTTGATGACCCAGTACGTTTTGAATTTTGTAGTTTTATCAATTTGTAGTCAAAATATTTGACTTTAAAGGAACCAATGTTGGTTAATAAACTAACAGGGCTCCTGTGTTTAACCATGTGATGCTGTGTTGGTTTCATGTTGGGTTCAGACGTACTTGGTGTGGCTGTGAGGGGTTCCAGGAGCTTTTCCAAAGTGCCTGTACACCTCTCTGCCTTTACGGGGCCCTGAAAAGGAAAAGATGTATGTAACATCAGATACAGACAGTAAAATCTCTGACAACATCATCAATTTTAGATCTCTACATTAGTACAGATAATAATCCACATTTATAGCACACATCTGGAAACGCTACAGCAGCAGAGAAGAAATGTCGGGGATAACAAGGAGCTTTGATTCATTTTGACTGGGAAATAAAACTCTTAAAGGCTTGATTAAAAGAACCATTTGCAATCATTCATGTTGTCAGGCTCCTAAAAGTGACTAGAGATTGTTTCAAAATGAAAAGAATAAATAAGATTTCTACACATTTTTCGTTTAAAAAGGCCAAACTTTCCATATTTTTCTGCACTTTTAGATCATTCTGGATATTTAAGTACCAAGTATTAGCACTGAACTTGTAACAGCAGACATGTCTCATCTACNAGTTNCACAAAACAAGTTTAACTACGTTAAACAGTAGATCTAGAGCCTAGATCTACTGTTTATAGATCTATAACTCCTTAAAATATCAGATAAGGAATGGGTTATCTTGAACTAAATGCATTTTTTAAAGACATTTCCTTTTTTGACATTTATTTTGCTAGGAAAATCCCCCAAAATAGATTTATTGCTTTTAATTACAACATTTTGGACTCGGATTGAGAAAAACACACCAGATCAAACTAACTTTGAAGCTGCCTAGAGACAACATGTAAAGGGATAAAATGCTCAAATTAAAATCTGATTCAGCAAAGTTAAGCATATAAGAATAAAAGTAAAAACTATACTTTATTGGGCATTATTAAGGTTTGTCCAAATGAAAATGGAAGACAAGAGAATGACTAGCAAAATCAAAGTTTGTCCATAATCTTTCTTTCAAAATGATGAGCAAATTAAATCCTCAATCAAACAGAAAGTCTGACATAATGAGTAATTTATCAAAAACAATTAAAAATATAATGTGGCTACCTGGTGCCAAGATTTCAAACAAGACCAAAACTATTTTTTATCTATTTTTGCATGGTGTCATTTCGTTATTGCTTGGTGAAGATTATAAATCCAGAGACTTTGTTCTGATTCAGAGTTCTTATATAACAGAGTTTATTAATGATTCTACCTTCTCAGATTAAACTGGCAGACTGTAGGAGGAAACAGGAGAAGTTCAAGTACCTGACAGCAGCACTGTCCCATGTCCTTTGGGAGAACTCAAAGCCAGCTGGTCAAATGTCATCACCTGACCTCCGGCCTTCACGATCCTGCGGCGGGCGCGGTCGGTAACCTTGAGAGCGCAGATCTACAGAATAAAACGCAGAACTTCAGAGGGTCACAATGCTGAAGGAACATTATCTAAATCTTTATAAGATCAAATACTTTGAAGGAAAATGTAGATTTAGTAAGATCACTTACCTTGAGCTTGGGGATATCCTGAATCCTGATGTCATCAGTGACTGTTCCCACGACAACCGCGACTTTGTTATCACGACCGGGCATCTTCATCTTACGGATCTAATTAAAGACAAAACAGGCAGAGCGGAAAACTGATGAGGACATATTTCAAACCGAGGAAGAGACATGTAGAAAATATACCTATAGATATGAATGGGAGAAAAGGATTTCAGCATTATTATGGTAGACCATTTTTCTTCTGTAAATTATAAATTAAGATGTCAACATCTCTTTCAATTTCTTTTTTTAATCTCACTAAATATTAAGCACCAAAACCATAAATTTTATGTTCAAAACCTTTCAAATTTTGGCATGAAAAGCCCCCAAAGCCCCACATAACATTACAGCAAATCAGATTAAATGGTTTTTGACTATTTTACTGTTGCCTTAGTTTTCTATCATAGTTTTTTTTTCTAACCTTCTGACATGCTTCAGTTGTTCAGCTTTGTTTCAGATGAACACCAACATCAGAACAGAAAAGTGTAGGACTTTTAAGCAAGCATTTAATTGATGCAAGTTATTAAAAACTCCTTGCATGAACCACTAAGACATTTTGACAATTGAAGTTGTTTTTCTTTACACAATAAAAAAATCTTTGTTTTTAAACTTGCATCAGCTTGAAAATAATGCTTCATCAAACCAAAACAATGTAACATATCTGTTGCTCCAGGTAAGATATTGACTACTCATAACCACCTGAACCCTACATTAAACATGTTAATGATCCCCTTAATAAAATTAGTTTTTTCTTCTTGTTAAATGATAACCACTTGTTAAAAAAAACCTTTAACAAAAAGAAGGCAACCTGGGACAATCTGGGTGTTCTTTACAACAAACATCACATGCCGAAAGGCCTTTAAAAATGTTAAGTTTGAGTGTAGGAGGTGATTAAATGTGCTCTACTGCAGTATACCATCTCATAAAATAGGATCTCTAAACAAATTAATCACATTTCATAAAAAAAAAAACAGACATTTCTGAACATACCAGCGCCCACCTGAAAAATTATGCCTTACAATACAGAAAAGTATTTTTAAACTATCTTGGACTAACCAGGCGAGAGATGGAGATGGGAGGTTTGTTGGTCCGGCTCATGAACAGCCTCCTCAGGATGACCTTGTTGAAGGGAGCATTTGTGCGGCGGGCAAGAAACCTGTACAACTGTAAGAAACCAATATGACAAGTTATGACACACTTAAAAATCTGGCAATCACAAGACTCATACTCAAAGTTTTATGCACCAATAAGTAGTGTCAGAGATATGGTTTTAAAGAGAGGAGAACATTATTTACCTTAACCAAGAGCCTCAGATAGATATCCTCACTCTTTGGCTCTTTCCTGTGCACCTTACGGTCCTTATTGTGCCTGATGTCGACTCCCTTGAAAATTTGAACAAAATCACATTGAGACGCATCACCTGAAAGTCTTCGTTTCAAACTAATCACATGTAAGATCCACCGTTATCTCTACAGTATACATCGCTAAAGCCGCATTAAAGCAAAAGCATATAAAGTTAAATTATAATGCAGATCAGAGCCCTTTAGCTAGCTGAAGCTAGTTCACACGTTGACGCTACAGCTATCACCTAGCAAACAGCTATCACTGTCAGCAGCATTTTATTTGGCTCAGTTTGATACTTAGAATCGCTATAAACGTGACCAAATGCATTCTGAGTTTTAAAATAATATCCGGCTTTCAGAAAACCTCGCAAGGCTAACTTCAAGTCAGAAACATGACTGAAATCGGCACCAATGTCGGCTTCAAAGTAGCTATGCCAATATGAATAATATGGACAAATAATCTTAAAATTACAGCAACAGTGCCACACTAAGTATCTACGGGACATGTTTATGTACTAATCAGCACGATACGATGGTTTGACAAAAAGGATGGCAATGGATAAAACAGTTATCATATTTTACAATATCTGGTAGCAGTACCTACCATCTTGGACTCAGAGCGAAAAGGGAAAAGGAAGGGACAACGTCTCGCGATAACGCAATGGTCTGAAATTTCGGCCTTCTGATTGGCTGCGGAGCTTGTGTTTTCCGCTTGTTAATTTGAGGATAGAGCCTCTAGTGGTGTGTAGTGGAATTAGCAGTTGAACTAAATCGGCTATTAACCACCCGCTGGATTTTATATTATCGTATTACAAGAGCTAATTCTAGATGTGAAGAGGATGGAGGATAAAGGAAAAGAACGTTTAAAAATAATGTTTGTTTTTTTTAAATATACCATTGAGTTCCAGATAGCTTTTACATTCCACAAGTACATTGGAGCATGTTTACCACCAAAATATAATTGTTTTATAATTGTTAATGATAAACAATGATAAATAATTTCGGTAATTATTTATTTACCATTAATTGTATCAATTATCTGGAATGGACTGGCAGCCTGCCCTGGGTCTACCCCACCTTTCAACCAGTGTCTGGGCCTTACTGCTATTTGTGCAGTTTTTCTCATTACAAATTTATTGTTATTTGCACAGTTTTTATCACTTCTTGTAAATGGTCAGCTGTAGTTTCTATGCTGTGCACATTTTAAAAAATATATCCTCCTACTCACTTGCACATTTATTTGCATCAGAGTGTGCTATTTTAATGTTTTGTTCAATTAACAAAAATAAAGAATTGACAACAGTCTGTGTGTATTCATCGATATATTGTGTTTCACTAATATGGTGATGGAGTTACTAAAATAAATTGACTTTTCAGTAATAGTGACATTTATTATATATTGTGCATGTGTTTGTCATGCTTCAAAGATATATAAATTTAATGTGTTGTGAGCTGCTTAAGATGAATTAAAACAAATGTCAGCAGTATGAATCTCATAAGACAAATTAAAACAGATGTGACATAATAAAGATGGAGGAGTTTTTCGGTTACAAAGCGACAAAAAACATACACACACACACCACACAAGCACGCGTACACACACAGGAGGGTGCATGAACTCATGTTTACTAGATTTAAAAGCCACAAAAACAGTAAAGATCAGGCATTTATGCATTCATTTATTTAATATTTGTAAACAGATCACTTGGAAGGAGACGATCATCTGATTCACAGACCTGTGAATGTTATTCTTTCAGAGTTTTCACATATAACCTTCCCTTTAAATGAGCTTCAGTTAATGCCAGTATTTTACAATATGTATCCTAAACATGAATGTCTGAGGTTTAGTCAGTTTTGTGTCCGCGCTGCTGTCTGAGATGACACAGAAAGATGGTGAAAGTCAGAGCGATTCCTCCCACAAACGCAGTACGAGCCACAGGGGGCACAAAGGCAAAGTTCACAGCCTGACAAGAAGCAAACAGATTAAAAGTCAAAGCCCAGTGTTGTATAAATGAATAAATGAAATGCATTAAGGAAAACAAAGTATCTGACCTGCATCGTTGACCAATACACCACTCCGGCCTGCAGTGACAGACAGATATTTAAGAGCTGCAGCACGATTGTCTCTTAGCCCAGTAAAGCTAAACATTAAATTTAAGACCTTGTAAGACGTCCAGAATTTCTGTCGCCAGTCTTCAAGTAGGTCGTCTCTGTTTTCTAAAAAGCTTAAACCTGAAAGTTAGATCTGATAATTAAGATGCTCAGGTAATGATTGTTTGTCCAGTCCTTCAAAATCGAGAACATAGCCATATAACGATATTCAAATATTTCACAACAAAGGGAATTAAGATTTCAGTTTAGTTATTAGTGTGTTTGTGAAATGCAAAATATAATCATGAAGTAATCACAACATGTTTAAGTTAGAAATACATAAAAACATGTATAATAGATTTATAGATTTGATGGCAATAAATTATGAAATATGTTGCAGTGCCTTCTACTATTTTGAAATACAAATGTGTTACTGAGACTTGACAACCCATGAATGTCCCTCTTTCATCCACTCTACAAACAATAAAGTAACTTTTCATTGTCCTTAGATGGTTAGATAAATGTAAGGTTTCAAACTAAACTACCTTGGCTCTTTCTTTGGGCGAACTTTAGGTGACTTACTGTTTTCTTTCAGCCATTTCTTGATTTACAAGGATCAACACTCGTTTCACCTCTTATGAATTACATGTTTTCTTATCTTCTCCACTTTGAGGAGTGGACATTTAAATAAGTAAAGCAGCAGTTGTATAAGAAAAATATTCTGTTACATTTAATTAACAGAAATTACTTATTATAATAAGTGTGGCACCATCGCCGACTTAGTGAAAAATAAATTCACAATGTGGGATTTTCACTCTGAATAATTAACTGAAATCAAAGGTTGGACCCTGTAAGTTATTCAGTGTGAAAATGTGCTGCAACATTAAAAGATTAACTAATTTTAAGGCTTTTTAATCGTATCTAAAAGGGCAGTGAAGGAGCTGCAGATGATAAAATGGACATATGACCTTTTCATCTTGGTTTAGGGGTAAATGTATATTATGTTGCTAAATGAGCTGTCTGGACTTTATGTTGTTTAGTAGAAAACAATCTGGCATCATCATTTGTATAGATTTAATAACTCCACATTCACTGAACTCCAGAGGTGGAAATGTATTTGCTTTTCAGTTTTATTGTTTTATTAAATAAGAAAAGTCTGATAAACAGTGACAGTTTGTTTAACGTGACTAATAAAGAAAACACTCGTTGACCAGAGTGCGTTTCTGCATCTCAGCCAAGTCGTCCATGCCTACATTTGGCCTTTTTATTTGCGGAGATATTCTAAATTTCTAATCAGTATTGAGTCAGCAGCACCATTGTTCCACAAATACAAACATAGACGTAAATGTAGGAAAAACTAATGTGAATCCTCAGTTATTTGTCATATATAACGAAAATGTTCTTTATTTTATCTAAAGTACAAAGGGTTGGATAGTTCTACTTAATCACATTTATTTGAGTAACTTTTTTGAAAATAAAAAAAAATACTTTTAGGAATATTTTTACTTCACTGTACTTTTTACTTTTATTTGAGTAATTTTATTATTAAGTATTGCTACTCTTACTGCTTGAGTACAATGTCTGGATTCTTTATGAAGAACAAACAATGTTAACTAAAAACTCACCAGACAAAGACACACACCTGCAGTTTTTGCTAAAGTTTGGTATTGAAATAAATTGATTTGGGAAAAAAAATAAGATTTCTTGTTACTTATGTGAAATATTCTCATTTAGGTCCTTTAAACACGCAAAACTTAATATTTTGACCCGTCTGATGATGCAACTTTTAAAAACTAAATGATTAATAATTTGATTAATTACTCAGGACTTGAGTAAACTTTTTACTCTTGAGTGATTTCTTGGATGGCTACTTTTTATATTACTTGATTAAAAGTATGTTGAAGTAGTTCTATTTTTACTAGAGTACAGTTTTTGAGTACTCCGAGTCTGCCCACCTCCCAGACGCTTCAGATGAAGGTCAGAAGTTGTTGGTTCTTAAAAGAAGCCGAGTCTTTGAACGGCATTCTCACCGATATAAAAAGCGCTGATGGTAACCGGAGCAGCAACCAGCTGATCCAGCACCACCTTCCTCGTTACGGCCCGCAGCCCGCCGCCGGGCACCATCCTCTCCAGCCCTCGCAGCCAGTGGTAGTTGAAGTTGGCGTGGAAACACAGGCCCACAGTTGCCACTCGAGCCGTCTGATGCCAGTCGATCCCTGCGGACCGCTCGGACGCCAGGGCGGGATTTCTACCCAGGACTCTCTGCTGGATGAGGTCCGCCGAGGCAAACAGCGCCGTGTACCCCAGAACGTTGCTGATGTACGGGTGAGCCTGAAATGAAGCCCAGGCCCGGTTCATGGTGAAACGTCTGACCAGAAGGAACATGTTGGACTTCAGAACATTTAAAGGACAGTGGCTTGAGAAAATATTAATTCATTGGTCATTTTAAACCCATAAACCTCCAATGATGCACAATTCTCATAGTAAATATAAAAAAAATGAAATGTGTGGCATGTGTTTTATTATTAAATAATTAAATGTGTTTTATTATTAAATAAAACACATGCCACACATTTATGGCATGTGTCGCATAATTGCCTAAGTCTTATTTTTAAAAAATAGGACTTAGGCAATTATGCTATTAGGCTAATGATAATTAACCTGCAGTGCAATCCATTCACTTCAGAAATTAATTTAAAAATGGGCCCAAATAATCGCATCAAGGTCCAGATATGATGAAAACAACAAGACGTAGTTTTGGTCTAGTTTCGAGCGCAAATGTCTTAGTACACTTGAAATAATTAACTCAGTCATTCCTCATAATATGGGAAAGCATTTTTCACTGATCACAAGTACTTTTTGGTCAATATTAAGGAATAATTGACTTAACAAAAGCTCATATTTCTTGCTGAAAAGTTAATTCAACAAGTTAACAGACAAAATGAGCTGCATCATTGAGGATATTCAACCAATTAGTTCACAAAGTTCCACCCCAAAGGTTCAGGGTAATATAATATCACTTCCTGTTTTCAAAAAGAGGATTTTTACCAGAGTAATTTATCTTTACCTTTACAGAAGTGGTGCAAAAAGAAGAGGGTAGAGCAGCGTCTGAAAACAACCCTAGCTTTATGAAAAAATATAAATCGTAACAATCAAACGCACCTCTTGAGTTTGGCTCCTCTTTAAACCCCCAAAGCCACTGAAACAAACACCGTTCCCACTGGCTCTGCTCAATGTGGAAGAACCAAGAAAAGAGCAGAAGTGACAGAAATGTTCCTGCCGGGTCAAAGGTTAGCAGGAATGTGTGATAAAGCTTTTTATCATGTGGGAAAGCAGCACATGTGAACAGCTTCACACTGTCGAGCTTCTGAATTTAGACATGACTTACCACAGATTTTATTTTCTAAAATGTTGTTGAAGTAGAGGCTCAGTTATGGAGTAAACTCTGCAGCTTTCCGGTCAGAAGCACATGTGTTGTTTCTATAAATAGACACGCAGCAGCAGCGGCTCCCTCTTCTGAGATGAAACACAAAGATTCATATAACAGTCAATTTATTGAAGAAATAAATAAAAAATTATTTTTTTTGTTTTGTTTTTGTTATGAAGCTGATGAAGACACTTTGCGAAGCAGGAGGAACATGTTTCTAATATTTTAACCCCATCAGGTCTTTTCTGTCTTTATGTTTTGTGCAAAGTTGTCAGTTATTTTTTCAAATAACTTCCATTAGAAAAAAACATGACAGAATTAAATTACATTAAATCAATAAAGTAGACAATGTTGAACAGGAAAGGGTAAAGCTCTTTTTCTTTTTAAATTTAATTTATAATAGATACAATAGCTAAAGAAAAGAGTTTGCATTTTGAAATTCCACACTTTTCCCAGATTTCTTAGATTTTTTTTTCAATATTTAACTGCAAAACATCCACTGAGTTGTTTTCTTTTTTTTTAATCCAGATGAACAATGAAACTATGATTTCTATAACATCTTAATTTCACAGAACTCCAGAAAACTAAACCCACTTCAAGAACCTTTGATCCAGTTTAAAAACAAAACTAAATGGACCTAGATACCAAAACAGCAGTGAAACAGGCGTTTCTGATTTTTGATTATTTGTTGGATCAGTGAGCTGGACAAAAACACAAGCTTTGATTGACAGAGCAAAGATTAAAAGGTTAAAACATCTGTTCTTTAAAAACAAAAGCACATTCAGACTGAGGTGTGAGCATTGGGTTGAACTACTTCAACAGTAATGGTCAGCATGTATTCTTCCTGGCTGAAGGTCTCCATCTTTCTGTGTCTCTGGTGCCCAACAGGTAAGGCTGAAACAGAATTGTGCACTATTATGGACAGAGGTATGTTTCAAAGCAAATGTAATCGTTCAGCAAATTTTTTTGCTGCTATTTAACAATCCTATGATGTGCTCTGTCTTTTATGTTCTTTTGCCTATACAAAAGAAGTGATTTGGAGAGAGTCGGGACAATCCGTTACGATCCGGTGCAGAATTAATACTGATCAAGATTTTCTGGTATTGAAAATGGGACATAACGAGGAAACTGAGGTTGCCTTTATCAACAGAGCCTCCAGAAAAAGACATTTTCATAAAAGAATTGCAGGAAGAGTTCAAACAAATGGAACATTCCCAAATGTGGATATTGTGATTGAAAACTTGAATGTAAGTGACTCAGGGCCGTACTGGTGTGTGTATTCAAAACTAGATGACAATTACCATCAACTGGTCACAAAGGGTTAAAAAGAAAATGCTTCTTTTAGATAAATAGTTAATATGGACAGACTTAAATATTCAATTTTGCTTGTACTTATCTAGACTTGGGAAAATAGTAAATTCCAGACGTTCAGACTTGAAATTAGATTTTTATCCCGTTTCCTGGATATTGATGTCAGAAAATATATCTAACAAAAACAATAAGACCTGAAATTTAAAAGGAAAAAATAAACAGAGATGGATTAAATGTTTTTGCAATAAAAAATACTTACAAAAATAAAAAAAACAAAAAAACTTAATCAAAAACCCAGGATGATTCACAACAATGTTGTTTTTAATGGAACCTCACAGTGTTAATTTAAAAAATAAAACTGGAGAGAATCGACAGTAAATGAAGATAAAATGTTGTTACAGCGTTTCCTTTGTGATTAAACAGACTCTCACCTGCTGCCATAGATATGTAAAAACCTGCACTCGGAAGGCGCATTGAAATGAAAAGGTCAATTAAAGCGAGTAGCAACCATCTGATCTCTTCCACCTGAGAATGTGATAATAAGAGGTCAGAGTTCAAACCAACCAATTAAAGCCTCGTTAGCAGCCGTCACTGCGGTGTTTGTGCTTCTCGGTCTTTAACTGGCCGCTTTTTATCGCAGCTCACAATGGAGACGACGTTGAGCCCACAGCTTCCTCCACAAGCAGCGGTTGACTTTTCACATAATTGCTGCTTTCGCCTCTCATCGGCTCCGTCAATGTGTGAAGGTGGAAACCAGGCGGAGCAAAGGGGGTGTGTGAGTCTGCAATCAGCGCTGATGACTCTTGACTTAATCTGAAGCTACAATAACTGCTCTCTCTCTCTCTCTCTCTCTCTCTTACACACACCACATATCTCTGGAGAGTTGCACCTCGTCTTCCTTCAGTGCAGTTTGTAGAGACTTTCACATGCAGCAACATTCAGGCTAAACGGTAAGAGACATTTATTGCTATTATTACTAAATTATAAGACATAAATTAGGACAGGAATCTGCAACCTTTACAATAAAAGGTTAAATTTTTACCTTCAGCCCAACAACATAAAGAGCAGTTTTATGTTGCTGATAAGCAGCAACATATTTTTGATTAATATCTTCAAAAGGGAATTTTTAGATTTGGAAGTAAAATAAATAAATAAATAAAAAAACAGTAACTTTTGTAACAAAATAATGGATACGGTTTATTTTAAGGCATAATGATATTTGTGGAAAATTTTAAAAAACATAATCATAGATAGATCTGTATCTATCTGTCTGTCTGATGCATCTAATTTGATTATGATCTTTTAAAAGTACTTTAAAGTGATTTGTTATTGAAAAAACTGTTAAAATAATTCACGTTATGAACCATTAATTATTTTATGTTCTGCCTCTTCTAATCTCATTTCTCAAAACTGTACTTAAATTGACAGATTAACATTAAATATTCTTATTTTAGCATTTGTTACATAGGAATTAAGATGGCTATGAACAAACCAGTAAATTATAAATATCGGCCCTCTCATCTATTTTTAATGTATAATAAGGAAGTAGCATCACAGGATTCACAGGAACAGAGAAAGATGGGAAAGTTTTTGAGTGAAATCATATTGTTTTTCTTCTGGTAATTAATTTTGACACCAGGAAATTTCTGTCATTTTTACACAAAGTGACAGTGAAGCAGTGCAATTTAAAAAAAAGACACAAGAGAGCAGAAATAGGAAAACATTAACCACATTATTTAATGTTCAAATAAAAATTCTTTGGCATTTTAAAGAATTTATGTTCATGAATATCTGAAGTACACCATGTTTTATGTAAACATGTATCTGTGTACGTACATAAGAAGCTATTTGCTCCCTGAAAAGAGAAACGCTGCTTCTGAGAGTTATTTGGTTGTCAATGTTTGAATACCTTTTTATGCATCATTAAATAACACAAATACAGTAAAAGTTTTATGATCAGAATGATGTTGGGAGAAAATGTTTGACGCTCTTCAAGCTTTTAGTTAAAGTCATGAGTTTTCTGAAATTTATTTTGCAGAGTAAACGGTTTTTGTTGATAAATAGTCACTTAATACATTTTAATGAAAAGAACAAAATCCAAAACTATTTGCTTTCTGCAGCCATGCGGCCGTCCTTCTCTGTGAGTCTGGAGCCCGGTCTGGAGCGAGGCGTCCCGTGGGGTCGTGACCTCTTCACCTTTGTGACTTCAGCAGCAGGTCACATGATGCGGACTCTTCAAAAGCCCCGGAAGAGCCGTCCGTCCAAGCGGCAGGTCAACCACCGCCGCTTCCTGCATAACATGATCCAGAGGTACGTCGGTGCAACAAACGAACAAATTCAGTTTTGATTTTAGCATCTTTTCAACGAACAATTTCTTTAGATTTCCACAAAGTAATGACACTAAAAGCACAGATCTGTTTTTATTAGGTCGGAAACTTTGTGCTTTTTTTTAGACAGTTGTCCACAAATATTAACATCTTGCAGAAGAAAAGGTGTCCATGCTCATTTTGCAAAAGTTTTGTTTTTCTTTGTTTTTAAAACCTCAAAATAGAAATTAAATAGCGGTTCTCTTTGGATTGTAAAAATTGCAGATTCCTGTGCAAAGCTAATATTACCAGAGGTTGCTGCAAAATTTTAACTCAAAGATACGTAAGCAATCAAAACAGAGGTTCTGATCTGCTTTTGTTTTATAAATACTTTATTTTGGATTTTACAATTATTAACTGACAAGACAAAATCAGCTCAGGATCCAGAGGAATCAAAAGTATTTAGACAAACCTAAAATAAAACACATTTACACTGATTTAACAAAACAAGAAGAAAACAAACAGGGTGGAGGTGATGGAGGCTGATCTGCTTTTTTAAAGGGGCAGTATTATGTGTTTCCATAGCAACTGTGTTAGCTTCAGTTGCCAATAAAATGCTGTGTATATCTAGTATGATTAAAGGAAGTCTGACTTTGTAGTTTAACGCCTTGAAATTGGGCCTCTGTCTCTTGAAAAACTTCTGCTCTTTCTGAGACGTCGTCATAATAACAATGTTCCTCTATTAACAACGTTTTTACCAGCGTTAAGTAGCTGCTACAATGAGCTCAGCTGATATTTGCTAATTGCTGGTGGCTAGTCTGAAGGAGCTGAGTGGGCGTGTTGGAGGGGAAGGGATGCTCTGATGCTGTAGCTCGGAAACTTGTAAACTGCAGCTCCAGAAGGAGGAGCTACACCTTGAAGGCGGGGCTAGGTCCAACCAGGCGTTTTGCACAGTTGAATGGTTGCCGTGGAGATTCAAGGATTTCTCAAACATGCATGAAAGAATCAAAGAAACACTCTTTGATGAGGATATAACATTACAACAGGATGTAAAGCTCAAAAATTTTTACATAATATTTCCCCTTTAAGATCTGCACAGTAAAAAGAAAATTATTTTGTTCTCTGATAGTCATTTGTCTCTCAACAGGAAATTTGCAGATATAGAAGCAGCGAACCATCGTCTGGCGTCGGCCCTTTATGTTAAGGACACACAGGAGCCTCTGGAGCCGCAGGGCTCCACGTACCAGAGCGAGGCTCTGCAGAATCCTGATCATAACGGAGGTCAAACAGATGCAAAGGGCATCTCAAGGTCGAGGGACAATGCGTCTGTTGCCGGGGAGCCAAAGGAGCTGGACGATAAACAAAGAAAATCCACCAACAACCAAAACAAGACGAGACAAACCAATGAAAAAAGAAACAACAAAGCCGTTGAGTTCTCAAAAGTTTTTCAGGAGTCGGAGCTCCTTCAGTCTGAATATCCCAGTCAGCAAAACCAAATGAACCCAATTAACAACCTCAATGAAAACAACCAGCACCCAAATGTTATTGTTCTCACCCAAAACGAGGACAATTCGCCTCCTTTCTCCCCAGAGCTCTCTCCGCTGTCTCTCGACTCTTGTGATTTCTCAGCTCAGATGTTGACGGACCTCTCAGCCAACACAGAACAAGAAACCATCCGTGACATAACCGAGCTCTTCACGGACCCAGTGGGTCACATGGACGTAGAGTCCTACTTTGAAACCATCTGTCCGCGCCGGATGGAAGACATGATTCTGTCTGATAACTTCACTGGGTTGGAGGAGAACATGGAGCCCGAATGCAGCTTTGGCTACAGCTGTGAAGAAGATCGAGGAGGAACCGCAGATTACGTCCAGCGTAACACGGGAAACTCCCGTCAGCCGAGACAAAGTGAATACAAAGCGAGTGCCTCCTTCTACAGCGTCTCTGAGCAGCAGGGGAGCTGCTGCATGCTGGGAAACGACCTGAACGTTGCACCGTTTGAAGGCGTGGCTCAGTCTTTCCCAGTTCCTCCTCCTCAGCAGGAGCGCCATCCCGTACCGACGCCTCCTCACGACGATGACTGGCTGTTTCCTGACATCCTGAAGGACAGGCAGCTGCCTTACTGCTGAATCCACACGTTTACGGAGTTTCATTACGCTGACGTTCATATTTAAACGTGAACATTTCTGTATGTTTTTAAACTGCCATTGGGATTTCTACTGATTCTACAAAAAAAAAAAAAAGCTTAAAAGAAAACAACCCAACCAGTTTTCAGGAAAAAAGTTAACATTCTTTTAGTATCTGGAAAATGAGCTGTTTCAAAAGCCTCCTGAGTCACAATTGATGGGCACTGTACCGTTACCTAGCAACCCCACACTAGAAAAAACTCAGGTAGTCCAACTTAATTTTTATTTGTTACAAGTAATCAAATTAAGTTTATCCAAGTGAACATATTAAGTTCATTAAGTTGTATTTTAATCAAAAGTAAGTACATTAAGGTTGACATGCTTATGAATCAGAGATTTCCCATTTTCACTTTGGGCCATATCAAAAATCAAAATGTTCTTAAAGGGCCGGTTGTGCCAGAATATATTGATAAAACCTATTAAATCGTTAAAATATCAATAAATAGGTGTTTGCTTCAGCATTCAATAAGTATTTCTTAAAATTAAATAATATTGAACGTCTTTTCACACCGATCAGTGCATTCAGGATTTTGTGATTGTTTTTTTTTTTTTTTAGCAATCAAAATCACATATTTTGTGGCGCCAGTTTAGAAATATTTGTAAGGAATTTTTATATTTGCGCTGATGTTAAACGTGACTTTCACAGACTATGATTTGATGTCAGCTGGGACGGCAGTCACGTAAACTTAAAAATGTTTTTGGCCAATTTTGAGGGAAATTTGCAGTAAAAATTTGAAAAGAATGTGGGAATGTGTTGATTTTGTGTTCATTTTACAGATTTGTGGAAAAACTGGAGGGAATAATTGATGTAATTAGGAGTTTAGAGGGCCACATAAAAGGCTATAGCGGGCCAGAATTGGCCACATGTAATATATTAACAAATTTTCGTTAAGTTGGAGTTCCATTTTTTTTTTTTTTCAGTCAGCTGAGCTCACTGAAAAGCTCAGCTGGTTTTATCACTGTATGCTCAGAAGCACCTTTGTGGATTTAAAGTGACAAGACGCCCTAAAGCAGCTCTGTCTGAAAGAAACTCGTATTGACCAGAGTAAAATCTCATTATCTAAAAATAACTGTGCAAAAAAATGTTGACATGTTTTGTAGCCGTAGCCTGTTAAGGAAGCATAAATGGTCACCTTTAAGTTGCTTTGTAACTAAATAATATTTTGGAGACCATAAGACCTGGATTACATGGATAAGTTGAGATGTTTTTATTCTTTTTCTTTTCTTAATCAACAGGACAAGAAGAGCTTTGCAAAAGTATTCACAGTATTCATTTTGTCATAATAGAACTACAAATGTGTTTTCATGAGACATTATGTGATGCGTTGTGTGCAATGTAAACGATTTTCTTTGAAAAATGGCTCCAGCTCGGGTAGTTTAGATGGAAAGAAAATGTGAACGTGCCACAGATTTTCAGTGTTCTCAATTAGCTTTGGTTCTGAACTTTGACTAGACCATGCAAACACATGAATATGCTTTGATCCAAATTTTTCCAGTGTAGTTCTGAGCTGCTTATAAGTGCACGCCACACTTTTCAGATTTTTATTTGCTCCTTTTTTGTCATTTCACTAAGAGATGCCATGAATGGTTTTGTACTAGTTCTAGGTTTATTATCCATTCATTTGCAACATAATTTTAGTTTTCTGTGAGTATTTTGAGGCTAAGTTTAACAAACGTTTCATTGTTTTGAAGGATATATAATTAAATAGTTTACTCAGTGTATTATGTCACATTGTTCTGTCTCTGCATGCTTTGGACCTTTTTAGTTCCTGACAATAAAAAGTAAATTGAATGAAAACAATGCAAGAGATTTGTTTCTACTTTCCCACAAACTCTAAATGTATTATTTATTCTAGGTCGGACATTTCTTAACGGTGTGGCTGTAAAACAGAAACAACTCTTAATTAGTTGATATTTGTATTGTTTGCATTAATAAACAAAATGTCAGCACCTGACTGATAAAATCAGGCTCACATTATTGTCTTAATGTCCAATGTAAGAATAGAAATATCAACAAAAAAAATGCAGATTTAAAACTTTTTATCTTAGACTTACTGTAAAGGTTTTAGAAAAAAACTGAAAAAGTAATCAAAATTATAATTTTTAAAATTATGACTATTAAAGCAAAAGTGGAATCCAAACCAATTACACCCAATGTGATTTTTCCCCCCCATAAACCTACTAATATATGGTTGTGTCTTCCTTGGCAGCAACAACTGAAATAATGACCTCCATTCGAGGGGATGCCACAATAACTCCAGACTTTGACTAGGCCACTTCAAAGCAGCTTATTTTAGCTCTTCAGAGGAATTACTGGTGAGCATCAGATCATTTTCCTGCTGTATGCGCTTCAGCTTAAGATAAAAAAAACTGATGCCAAGACATTTTCCAGAGACAAATTAATGTTTACATTAATTACAGGAAGTTGTCCTGCAGAGCAAAGTGCCTCACCACCATGTTTGACTGTCAGCAGGACATTTTATTAAACATATAATTCACCAGATGGATGATAAACGTGTTTTATTAGATAAACAGACTCTTTCACATTGTTGAATCATGAAAACTAACACTTGGTGATGTAAAACAGACCTGCAGTGCTTTAGATGTTGTTCTGGGTACTTTAGTGAACTCCTGGACGAAAATTTTTTAATGCGCTTTTGGAGTAATTTTGGTCGGTCAGCCACTTCTGGGAAGGTTTTCTCTTGTGGGTAACGTTTATATCTCTGGTCCTAAAGTCTTAAAATCATTTTTGGAACAAATTCCAGACTGATTACATTTTCTTCTTACCTGTTTTTATATTTCTTTATATTGAGACTTTTACCCTACTTCATGCCGCAAGACAGGTTCTGATTGATTTCCTGTTTGCAGAGTGGCAACAGGAAAGTCCTGGGTTCATATCCCTCTTTCTCCCGGGAGTTTGCATGTTCGCACGCACGCACGCACAAAGATCAAAACCAATCACAAATAATAAAGTTAACCCCAGTCAGATGTTTAATAATTACAATATCATTAACAAAAAAAAAGGCTAAAACAATAAAAACATATTTCCAAAATGCTTCAAGTTCCACAGTAGCCATAAACAAACACTCAGGAAAAAAAAAATCAAAAACACCTCAGAAGAGCTTCGGCCTCATTTCTTGCTACAGGTGACCAGGACTCGGCTCGTCTCATTTTAGCGTTTTGAACCTGTTTGATCAAAGTCGCCGCTTTCAGACAGATTGCATCACTGTGACATGTGATCTCAGCTCGTTTGGCTTCATGCCTGATTTTTATCCCAACTGGTGGTGTGTAAAGTGCAACTTTTACACAAAAACAACAGCTTGCATATTGCTAAAGTAAAGACCTACACTTTCAGAAAAGAGAAATTAAAGTTGTTGTGACACATTTTTGTTTCCACTTCACCTGTTGCTGTGAAACAGGGGGATACATGGATGCACATGCAGCTGCTGAATTAATGTAAACAGAAGGAAAAAAAAAAAAAAAACTACTGCAGAGGCCTTGAGATTTCTCAGTGGTAAACATTTTTCATTAAAACTGACAAAGAATAAACATTCAAAGCAACACAATCTTAAGTTTTCATTGGTTCCAGTTGAGTTAAGCAGGAAATAAATACTTTATTTTTATTGTTCTAATAATTAGGAGGAGTCTTTGATTCACAACCTGGAAGTAAATCTACAGGTTTTTGCTCTTCAGTTCAGTTTTTCACCAGATCTAGTGGATATCGAGTTTTAAATGGCAAATTTCAGCCTCCGTTTCTTTTTCTAGATATTGATTTACAGCTGAGTTAAATGGATTTATGTTTTTATGCTATGCTGGTACCTCTGGGTCAATTTGCTCCTTCACCATACCACATGCTTTCCCATGTTTGGATCGAGAAATCTGTATCAAATTCAAAGGAAACACTTTTTTAATCAAATGTAACAGCTAAACGTTTTTATCGTATTTTTTCCCCTCAACATAATTCATCAAAATACCCAACTACTGAGATAAATAAACTGATGGTTAAGTTTAGACGCTTTTTGGGATCTTTTAGCACGCTTTGTGTTACTGTGCTATGGTTATTTTTAAGTGATTTCTTGACTTTCCAGTGGAAAAACTCTTTGTCTTCACACTTGCATATGACTCAACAACTGGGAAATAGCTGCAAAACTTCATGAGAATATTTAATGACAATACAACTGCAATGATCCTGCGCCTCTTTATGAAGTTTTTATAGGAGTTTAATTCCATCCAGTTGCTCAAATATATGATCTATATTCTCTACATCAATGCATGATGTGTGAAATATAAATATTGCATCCAAGCATTTTGTTGTGATGGCGATATTGCAGACAATGATACTGTAATCCACTCTAAAGGCTGGTTATGTCTTTTTCATGTAGCTCCAGGTTAGTTTTAATAACTTGAATAGTTTGTAAAATGCTTTTTTTTTATTCAGCAGCAAGTTAATTTGATGATCTGCAATACCTAAAGTGTGACGAAAAGCAAAAATAAGCAGAAATCTGTAAGGCAGCAAACTGTATAAAGGTATTTAACATCAACAGATAAGGAGCAAAATGAGGGGGCGAATTGACCCAGATCTCATTATTTACCATGGAAATGTAAATATGCTTAAAGGGGAATATGCCATCTAGCTTTTACAGGCGGAACTGGTTCCTATCAGGCAAACAAGTGCAAAAAAACCCTCATTTAGTAAAAACAAATACATGGAAACAATCTGAAGAGACGCGCGTTTCAAACCCGGTTTCACAGCAGAGTGTGTTCGGTTTGACCCACACAGATAATGTTGATCTCAGTAGATAAAGTAAAAAAACAGCTTAATAAAAATTCATCTGTCAGTGCCACCGTTGTCGTTTTGTTTAAACCTAATACTACAAGCATATGAAAAGTCTATGGTCGCCCCGCCCCGGCCCGGCCGCCCTCCCTCTGCTTCGTTCTACTGCTACTCTATGTTTACTACAAATTTAAGTCCCTTTTCTCATCCGTACGCCCGCCGTTTGGTTAAACACAAAAGCTTTGTTTACACAGCTCATCATCAGTGCAGTCAAGTCAGACGTACAAAAAAAAAAAAAAAAAAAAAAAAAAAAGCAGTGTCTGTATCAGACACTGATAAGAAAGCTGATGTGCCGCTTCGGATAAATAAAAAGATGAAATAGCAGGATTCTCCACAGGGTGTTTCTGGCTCGTTTTTGTCATATTTTTTTTCTCTTTCAACAGCAGTGATAAATCTCCCATGCACGTCCTGCAGGCGCAGAAATAACCAGACTCACACAATACTGAGCCCCAAGCAGCATAAATTCATGTTGGATTTAAATTATAGAAGCAATATGTTAAGACTTAAGTTAAAGAAACTACCCCGACCCTCCGCCACATCCAACAACAAACACTTTCTAATCTAAGAAGAATCACCAAGTCATGCCTGATGGCAGGAGAATTGATGCATCCCACCATCTTACAGGTTATTTAGAGAAATATTGCTCTTGTTATAATTTAAACGTGGTTGATCTTGTTCTTATTGGCTATTTTACGTCGTGCTAGATTGTCATTTTCAGCCTGAGCAGAACTTCAAGTCAGATCCATACAGTCAAACCCCACATGGCTTGGAAACATCAACTTATGGAAAAGACATGAACTTATTAAGTCTGCTCTCTGTGTCCTGAAACTGTCATGAAATTAGCAGATAATAACTTATTTTCCATTTAAAACCAGGAGTTTTTCAGTTTCATGGTTAGAAATTGCTCGTCTGTGTTATCTTACATAAAAAAAAAATAAAAAAAAAATCTATTTTTACTGAATTAGCTGAGAAAGAAGAAGCATCGGCACATAGTTGTAGCACCACTTACACCCATCCTGTATGACTTTGATTTAAAACTAGAGCTGTTATGTGCGTGTCGCTCCTCCACCCCTGAGTGTTCGAGGCTGCGTCTGAGTCACTGCGAGCGTCACTCCGCGTTGTTGACGCTGTACGGTGGAGGCGGGTCCAGGCTTTGCTCCGAGGACGGGGTCAGGCTCTGTGGGAGTCCGGGGGTCGGGGTGGGGGAGGCGGGGAGCTCCTCCGAGTCGGAGTTCTCCAGCGAGAGGTCGTCCACCAGCGCTCTGCGCCCTCGCATCGACAGCGGCAGAGGAGCACGCCTGGAAGACAAGGGAGACGCTCACAACAAGCCCTGCATTTAGCCAGCTGAAATAATAAAATAATTATCAGACAATTTGTTACACTGTGAAGAAGGCCTTTCTGAACTAGTAATTATTTTTCTTTGGACTTTGGCTGCTTTTTTTTTTAATTTTTGTGTGTGTGTGTGTGTGTTTTTTTTAATTATTATTTCAGAACCATGTTTGTTAAAGTGTTGACCTGAGCTATGAAGTAATCCATAAAAAACCCAATAAATTTAAGGTAAGAGCTACAAACGTACAGGACAACTAGACAGAGAATGACTTCACATTAGGTCTGAAATTATTAGTTATGATGAATCAATTACTTAAAAAATCGTCAGCTAATTTAGTGACTGAATAATTGTTAACTTGACTATATGAATTCAAAAAAAGATGATTTGCTGAAAGAACAACTAACTCAGAGCAGAAATTAAGCCAAAATGCACAAAATGTCTGTATTTTATGTTTAAGATAAAAAACCTTTGTGAATATGTTCTACCCAGGTCTCCTCCGAGTTTTAGCTTCACCTGATTCAAATTCGGTAAAAAGAAAAATCTCCTTTTAATCAACATTTGTTATTCAGTAATTAATCAGTTAATCTCAATATTCAACAGATACACAGTATTGATAAGTCAAGCAGAA